AAGGGAAGGGGAAATTTTTCTTTGTTTAGTTATCCAAAAAATTAGGAAGGATGGAAGAAGAAAAATTTCCCGTATTTCTTCTTTTAATTTAGTAATTTATCAAAATTAAGAGACGGGAAGAATGGAGAATGGGGGGGAATAGAATGATATAGTTCTTTTTTCCTTCGTCCCCTCAATCCAAATATAAGATTAATGTTAAATCTAATTTAAAAAGCATTATTTTGTTCTACCCTAATGTTTTAAAGTAAAGGCAAAAAATAGTGTTAAAGCCCTAGAACTTTTCTCATGTTCTCACATAAGCCCTTAAGGAAAAAAGAACTACCATGTAGGCCCCCAAACATCTAGATTTGTGCAAATTTGCCCTTGTCTTAAAAACAAAATTACGTGTGATTATGTAAGTTAAACAATCATTTTTTTTTTTCACTTGTGTAACAATTCCTTTACATTTAAATGCAAATGTAGCATGAGACTGAAGTCATTTTGTTCTCAATTTATAGAATGGTGAGTTATATGTTACAGATATTTAAGAATAAAAGAATTGTCACATTAGCAATTAAGTGTAGAATTGTAAATGAATTGTCACACAATCAAAAAAACAAATGATTGTTTAACTTATATGACCACATGTGATTTTATTAATAACACAAGGACTAATTTGCTCAAATTCAAGCATTTAGGGACTTGCATGCCACTTTTTCTTCTTTAAGTGCTTATGTGAGAAAATGAGGAAAGTCTAGGGGTTCAATATTTGGGTCTTGCCTATTGTATCTGTTGCAGCTAAACTGAGAAAACACTGCACAGCATATTTTTGTAAATGTAGAGGAGAATTGCACTCACCCTGAAACTGCAAGGGAAGAGCAACCTCTTCTATATGGAATATGATTCCCTAAAAGTCAACGTCTGACTTTGCTTTACCAAACCAACACGTAAATTATTTTTAGGTGAATTAATTAATCCCCACACAGTATTATATGATTATCCCACTTAACCAAAAGTAAGAAGGAAAACCATTCGACCTCATGTGATCATCCATCTTTCTCGGTGATGCCTTGACCAATTAGCTTCCATAACTAATGTCAAAGTATTATCCTTTTTTCTTTTAGGGGAATTGCAAGCATATTTGAATTTTTTTTAATAAATCAAAAGATAAATAGATAAACTTTAAGGTACCGGAAAAACTTTTTATTAACAATAAAAACTCAACTTTTCAATCATTAAAATGATTCTTAAAAGAGATGTAAAAGCTTATTTGATAGTGTACCTAACTCATTCTTTTGGTAGGATCCATAAGAACGGTATCACATGACTCATTTCAGGCCGAAAACAGACAAGGGCCTTAATGGATATATGACAGACAAGAAGACTTTTTAAACTAACCTTGGCCTTTACTTAACTTATTCTGCAAAAGTTAAAAATGCCATGCTACTAGGACTACACAATTCCAATCTACAAATGCTACTATAGATTCCCATTCTCAAACAAAGTAAAATTGTCCCCGCATTCTCAACCTCACAGGCATTTCCAAATTCCAAATACCACACATTCACATATAGTACATAAGCAAATTAACTATCCGAACACTGGTGGTGAAATGGTTTATGGAATGGACTAATAATCACTGTAAAAGCGAAAACCCCTCTCTAAAGCATCTGGTTTTTCAAGCATTTCTCTGAGGATCCAATGTGCAGAGCTTTTTCTACTCAATGCAACCGAATGCATGCATGGACTATTTAAATTATGTTTAAGGGCATTTTGGCTTCACCAACTTTCACATCCTTCGGTAGGTAGAGAATATTCTTTTGATGCATATTTGCTGCAATCTAAAGGAAGTAAGTTAACTGTTGCTTCTTCCTTGAACCTCCTTCACCAAATAAGTCATTCCACTGTTTCAGCTCGGCCATTACTGATCCCTCTGCAGCAAAGCTTGCGGCAACCTGCATCATCATAGCGATATTGAGCTCAATAAATATAAAAATAAATAAACAAAAGGTTGTTCTGGCTTCCTTATGTTTCAACTAGCACTAAGTTTACCGTGAGAATTGAGGATGTAATGTAATTGCATTGAATAGAATTTTATACTGAATAATGATGGTGGGCAATAATTTAGGCAAGTTTATACTGAACTATTTTGCCATTTGAGATAAAAAGAAACGTCAATTGGTTACCTGGTTCTTTGCTTGTCTCATATCTTCCATGTTTAAAGGCCTCAGAATTATATCACGCTCCTCCTTACTGTCTTCTTTTGTTTCTGAGGTACCTTCCACGTTCTTGCCTGCTTCCTCTGCTTTCTTCCGTTCCTATAGAAGGTTATCCAAAAGTAAAAATTCAGGAATTACTTCTGCAGTATTGGCAATAGCAAGATATAGAAGAAGGACGAGATGAAGTTAAAGTAGGAAATAGCTCAAGTAGTCACCATATCCTTCAATCTCTCCTGCTGTATCAATTCCCTGACAGGTCGATATGCTGCTGTGACACACAAGTTCTGTTCCCAGTAATTTATGCCATAAGTTGATAACAATTTGGAGGCTAAAAAAGAAAAAAAGTTGATAACAATTGAACTATATAGTGATTGATACATATCAATATATGATGGAAAAATAGCAAACCTTAAGATCACTTCCACTAAATCCTTCAGTCATGGCTGCAAGCTCCTTAAAATCTAGACCTTCAACTGTCTCTTTGACCAACAGTGTTCTCAAGATTTTTTCTCTGCTCTCAACAGATGGGAGACCAACCATAATTCTGCATGGCAAAGAAAAGCACAAGTGAAAGCATGAGATAATTGATAAAATATGACTAAATTTTGGAAATTCTATGAAATTGATGATCTAAATTGTTGGGTTTAAAACTTTTAAGTGATGGCCAATCAATTGTCACATAATCCTAAAAACCAATTCATAAGGTAAAGGGATGACCTAAAAAAAAAAAAAAAACAGTTTGTAGAGTGCATCAAAGGATCAACTTAGTTCAGCAACATAAATGGTTAAGAACAAGATTCATGATGAGGTTACAGTTCATTCCAGTCAAACAATATCAAAGCACCAATATGATGATGAGAGATAACCAACCATAGAACTAGGAAAACAAAGATAAAGACAGCAGGAAATGAGATACAATAATGCCAACATACCTGCGCTCAAACCGCCTGATAATTGCTTCATCAAGGTCAAATGGCCTGTTGGTTGCAGCAAGAACCAGAATTCGCTCACCGGGTTTGGTCAAGAGCCCATCCCAATGAGTCATGAATTCATTCTTAATTTTCCGCATGGCCTCATGCTCCCCAGCTCTAGTCCGCTGCCCCAGCATGCTATCAACCTCATCCACAAATATAATAGTTGGTGAAACCTTTGCTGCAAGTGTAAATAAAGCTCTTACATTCTTCTCATCTTCTCCAAACCATTTTGAGGTGATGGTGGACATTGAGACATTGATGAAACTTGCTCCTGCTTCATTTGCTATGGCTTTTGCAAGCATTGTTTTTCCAGTGCCAGGAGGCCCAAATAGCAAGATACCTTTGCAAGGCTTTAGAAGCCCACCTTTGAAAAGATCAGGTCTTCGAAGAGGGAGCATGACTACCTCTTGAAGTGATTCTTTGATCTCATCCAATGCACCAATATCAGCAAATGTTACCCCAATCTCATTTGCAGGGATAACCTCTGGCCTTATGCGTTTCTCAAATTCATTATCAGGAGGAACTTCCTGTTAACACGTTATGAAACTTCTGTAGTAAGATAAACCAAAATAACAAAAGATAAAAGGTACCAAGGCATTGGATATCTGACTGTAAAGACTTAATGATACCATGGACAGTGGAGATGCAATAAAAATCAGTGTTTTGAAATTACCATACCAATTACCATAAATTTTTAGCAGTTATCATGGCAAAATTGAAAAAGAATCACTTAGTTCTTATAAAACCAGTATTGCAATAACCACTTCCTTTTTATCCAAGTAGAAGAGAGTTTCTTTTCAAATTACAAAGGTAAAAGCAATTTCCATATAATAGATTATTTGGTACTGAAGAGCTTAAAACTTACAGGTGCTTTTGCTGGGGGTAGATTCTCGCCATCTTTCTTTATGGCAGGAACTGACTTATCATTTTCAGTTTTGTTTTCTGATGCTGAGGTTTCAGCTTTTGATTCAGTCCTTGCACCAACTGTTTCACCTTCCTGCAATTGCCAAAGATAGGTCAATGGTCGGACCATTCATGTACTTTAACTCAGTTCTACTTGTCAAGATTCTCATAAACCAAAATGTCAAAATTTAAAGCAAAACCTTGCTGGGTTCAGCATTTGTCTCCAGCTTTAGGGTATCCTTCCCATCACTTTTGCCTTCCTGGAAGATACTCAATCCACGGGACAAGCTGCTCAAGAGGGAGAACAGTATTTGTGTTAAACTTTCTATATTTCTGATTCTTTGATAAGAAAAAAATTGAAAATGCACATTGAAGCAATTAAAAATTCATAATTTGTATCTACCTCTTCGATGATATGACAAGCTTGCCATTTCGGTATTCTGGATCCTTATTTTTCATCAGATGATATGATATTGCTGATACCACAATTTCTTGAATGTAATTACTCAGGACCATTGTGTCTGCTTGACAGATTGTATCCAAATCATCACAGTCAAGATCATTTGCTGCAAGTACCTCGGCAATATGGTTTCTGTTATCCTGAAATTGAAGCGTCTTCATTTCCTCTTCCAGTTGGGCTTTCCAGCTATCAAGATGAGTTTCATCTTCAGGTGCTTTTATCTCAATGTTGTATGGGAACAAAAGGGAGAGCCTCTCATCCAGTTCTCTGCAGTCATCTTCTGGTTCCCACATCCTAGAACCGAGTATCAGCACTGGGCCAGAAAGCTTATTCAACAGTTTGTGAAACAAATCATAGAACCGTTGAGATTGGAGGAGGAGTTTCTCAACATCCCTCAGATACAAGATAATAGGCTTGGTTTCTGATACTGAAACCAGTACCTGTAAGGAAATGACAAACCTAACCCTCAATAACATTCCATTATTGGATGGTAGGAAGTAGGACAATGAATTCCTATCTAATCAGTTAGCTTCTAGGATCTGAGGAAGGAATTCAATTTTACAAGACTAAAAACAGCACTCTGAAATATATTCAGCATTGAGACTGCATGGATAAATTTGCGCACATATATAAAGTATTGTCTAGAAAAGGTCATCCACACAATTCAGCTTTAAAACAATGCACTAGTATGAAATTACCTTGTAGAGTGACTGCAGAAAGAGTTTCTCATCAAAGCACCAGCTGCTAGTGAGCTTGTGAGAGGCTACAAGAAACAGAAAGTGAACATAAATATAGTAAGCATAGTATTTCTTTCTTTTGAAACAAATAATTCAATATTTTTTTGAAGATATTCTATTAGAAGAGCTCAAATAAAGTGGAAATTTGTGGAATTTTTCAGACCACCTAAGTGAGAAAATGAATTTATTAACTGCAAAGAAAAAACAAACAATTATAGAAGTTGTAGGAACAAGTTTTTTTAAGGAACAATTTTTTTTTTTTTTTGAAATTTTGAACAGCACTTTTTTAAAACCATATACTGGAAAGAAATCTAAATTAGGGAAAAAAATCCAATTATTTCAAACGAGAGTCAATCAGTGACAGATTGATACTCAATGAAAGCAATAAGGGATACATTCAAAGAATTGAATTAGCTTTCTCCATAAAAGTTCATTAGGTTTTATAGGAGGATCTCCTTGACAAGGTCTATTAAATATTATATACAGCTAAAAGATTGTGTACAAAAAGAAAACAGTGAATAAAAGCTTCTTTTCAACTTCAGAATCTCTATGATGGCCAAAAAAGACTTCAGAATCTTTATGAGTAGACTAAATATGCTTAACCATCGAACCAAAACCCTACAGGGAAGCCAACTAAGGTTATCTTTGAATCATAATGAACATTTTAATATTTAGATGACTTATCATGATTCACAGGAAAGCCATCTAATCAGCCAGTTTTCAAACTGACACTATTTACTTTTTATATCATAATAAACATAATGTCATGCACATGCAAAAGTTTGCCGGATGGAATCTCTTCTGAAACAAAGAAAAAGAAAAAGAAAAATGCATTGTTACCTGGATTTGAGGAAGCAGAAAGGGAAGAGATGCTACTAATATCAGATGCTGCAGAGATATTTCTACGATGTTTTGGAGCACTGCTAGAACATTCCATAGCCCTGAAAATGAATTGAAAGAGTTTCACTGAACCTCCAATGCAGCATTAACAGCTGATGAACTGAACTCAATAACTCTAAACTCCATCATCACAAAGATTAATGGTAAAAGTGATAAACCATACCTTGACCTAACATCAACACCACTGCTCTGCCTATGTAACGTTCCTGCAAAATGCTTTCTTATCAGAGTGAGGGTATATATAATGATAGAAAGAAATAATTAACAAAATATGAAAAGAAGAGGCAGAATGGTAAATTTGAGGTGAAATTACCAAAAAGATAATGACAATTATTATTATTATTATTATTATAAGAGAAATATCTAAAGAAACTTTGGCAGAATAACAAAAAATAGTAGAAAGAAAAGATAAAAGGCTGTTCACTACAAATGCAAAAATGTTAAATAGCAAAATATTAGATCTCCACTTTATTTTTACACCTTTTGCTTCTTCCCTTGGGGGAAGGAATGGTAATGAACCTAATAAACTGCTCATCTTTTCCAGCGTCACCTCTGAGATGGACCTCTTGAAAGACTGCATATTTATTTATAAAAAATGGAAACATCAGAAGCTAATGAGCGTTCCATTGAATAGAACTCACACAGTGTGGGAAAATATATCTGAATAGAAATGAAGAAGATTAGAACTTTTCTCAATAGAGGCACACCTTGCTGAGTAGAATGTTAACCTTCTACTACAGCAATAAATGGGAAAAAAAAATATATATATATATATATATATATAAATGTTCAGTTAATAAACGGCCTAAAGAGAATGAAAAAGAAAACTTACAGGTTCTTTCTTTGTGCAACCATATTTGCTCTGCATCTGTGGTGAGATAACCATGAAAAGCATAAGTATGAGTCTATTACCATTCAAATCAAGGAACATTGAAGCTGTACATCTATACCTTTAAAGAAAAGTCTGTGATATCCAACAATAGCAGCTTTGATTCAAAGTCATGTGCTAAGGCTTTGGCAAGCATTTGCTGGTAAAGTTCTACAGAAGATTAAGATGCAAACCATTAGATTAAAAAGGGAATTAGACATGACTATGTTTTCCATGGAAAAATGTTCAATCATATAACCAAATGAAGAAACATACCAGCAGGTCCGGAGAGCAAAATAGCTCTACCAGCAGGGGAAAGGTTCCGGATGTGCTTTGAAACATCAGTGTGTTTTATATGGACAAATGCAGCACTTGTCAATAACTCCCGAGTTCTCTCACTGTAATTAGCATTGTCAGGATAAGGAATAACTTTGTGAGACCAGGATAAAAGTTCCCATGTAGAAAATGCATTAAAATTTCAACTTGAGTTACTGGTTAGAATTCCATTTGACTCATGCAATCAAGGCAACGAACACAACAACTATAGCTAATAGCTACATATTTACTGACGCCAGCGACAGTAAACTTTTACATGTTCTAAAATACGTTAATGACTTTGATAGACCACGGTTAAGCAAACCACCAATTTCAGTGGACCTGAAAATAGGACAACAAGCCTAACAGAAGTTATCGAATAGAGAATATCCATATAATAATAGAGGAATGGTGCACTTTTGTTTCATGAGTGCAGGAAAGAAGGCTGTCCTGCCAAAATATAGAATCATTTGTGGCACATACAGACAGAGACATGGTTTGCTGAAGAATCAATACAAAATCTCAATTTTCTAAACTTTAATGATCTTTCCAAGTAGAGGAATGTTTATAAGTCCGGCATCCTTCAATAATTTAAAAATAAATTAAAAAAAAAAAAAAAGAATTGGGGAAAGAATAAAAAACCAGAAGGAAATCATTAGACAAAATAATAATATAATAATAATAATAATACCAAGGCCAATCTTACTTACCCCCTCCAACAAAAGCAAAACAAAAAGGAAGGAGATACTAATAATAATAATAACAATAATAATAACAACAACAATCATAACAACAATAACAACAATAATATAATAAAGATAATATTGCCTATCTAAATATATATATATATATATATAAAATAAATGTCACTGATGTGCAAGGTTAGTAGAAGCATGTGCAAAGAATATCTCCATACCAGACCACGCATATGATGATTGCAAAATACCAAACTCAATCACTTTTCTTTCTCACCCCTCTATAATTGACCGGGACCAATATCAAACACTATGATAACAAACCACGTAATGGTACAATTATATTCACATTTAACAAGGAAAAAAAAAAAACTAATCCTTGTTGATCAAAATTCCACACTCACATGAATGTGAAAACAAAATCTAAACCAAAATCATTCCACCAAAATATGGACTAAACTGAAAGGAACCCACCATTCCCTTACCTGATATAATAAGGAAAATCATCGAAGGTGACATTGATCTCTCTCCCATCCACAATCTGTTTCATCAACTCCTGCTCAATCTGCATCCCCGTGATTCCATCAATTGAGGAAGACCCTCCTGCCCATTTGCTCACGGTTTGTCCAGAAGCCAACCCAATCCCAACACCCACACCAACACTCAACGCAGACAACAATATCTTCTTCTGCTCCATCTCCCCAACCCCAACAACTCCGAACACACAACAAAGAAAAAAAGCTTCCAACTTTCCTTTCTTCCTTGTCCAGAACCTATCAAAAGTACAAAACAAATGCCGTCTTGCTCAAGAAAGTTCCCTTTTTGACGCAAAACATCAAACACCTTGAGACTTATGTTCAGATTCAAAGGAAAAACGGATCAAAGGAAGAAGAAGAAGATTCAAAGAAAAATCAAATGGGGTAGTTGGAATTTCAATATTTTGAGGGAACAGAGGAAGAGAGAATGTAGGAGAATAATATATTTGTTGGTCTTGGTCTGGCCCTCTACAACTATTTATAGCATGCCATTCTAATGGACGTCAAGTGCTTTGCCGGGAAACCAACCAGAAAATTTTTTACTCTGCTTTTCTGCTTTTTTGACTTATCGGTGACCGCCTAATATGGGTTTCTTGCTTTCCTCTTTTATCTTTTTGGTCGGTTTTTTCTTCTTCCTTTTTTATATCCTCTTTTTTAGCTTTTATTTACTCGGTGTTTTAGATCGGTTACCTAAGTTTGGTTGGGATTGTGACTCTATAAATTTTTAATTTATTTTGAAGAATATATATGAAATTTAGATTCTTCTTTGTTTATGTTCTCTTTTTAGCTTTTGTTAACTTTTTTTTGAACTGAAGTTAAATAGCTTTTGTTAACTTAGTGTTTTAGTAATTTGGAGTAATTGATTAATTTGCCAGTTCCCTAAGTTTAGTTGGGATTGTGACTCTACAATTTTCTAATTTATTTTGAAGAATATATATGGAATTTAGATGTATATCTTTATCGGCGTTTTTAGCTAATTTTTTTTTTTAAATCAATAATTTCATATGAGATTATTAATTAGATTTGCCGATTAGCAATGTCTTATTCTTATTATGAACATCTTTATGCAAAATTAAGTATTAACTGTTTATGAATAATGTTGAATTGTTGACAATGAAACATTGGCTTAGTAGTAGCGTTTGAAGATTGTACGTTTAACTCTTTTCATATTTTAGAGTTAGGATAAGCACGAGAGTGTAGTAGTTGCAAATGAAACTAAATGTGAAATTATAGTTTTATCCAACTCAATTTTATGGGGCTAAAAAGTATCCCGAGATTTTCAAATATATATATCACAGGACTTTTATTTTGTTTGTTGTGATGATCAAGATTTCTTCGCACTAATTTGCACTCTATTTGATTTAGATTTCGTTTGCTTTTAAGTGTTTTAGAACAACTAATATATAAGATATCCAACAAATAATAGTTATTATTATCATTTATAATTCAAACATTATATATTATAATACATTTCAAAATATTTGAAACAAACAATTAAACCAAATCAAAGGCTTGACGACTAAGTAACAATTGGGGTAGCTTCTCCACTACAACATTATATACTAGAAGAAAAACAGTTAGGTAATCGTTAATAGTTGATTGATATATTGTTTAATAATTGATAATTATTGATGCTGTTAAATACTTATTATAATTATTTAAAAAAGCATCTATTAATTTTTTTAAATAATTAAACTGAACAAATTCCTAAAAATGCTAAATAAAATTATTATAGCTGATTAAAAAAATGGCTTAAAAGCATTATATATGTATATCGATCATTACTGTTGTGTCATTCCACATACATGTTATTCCCTTTTGTAGAAAATCTGAATGACATTCCAACTGGACTCCAAGTTGTCCATGCATAAAGAATGATTATGCTAACATAATACGAAATTTAACCAACACCTCGTTTTGTATTTTTCCCTTGGGAAAGGGACAAACAATAAGGTGGAAATCCGATTTGGTATTGGAATTTAGAAGTGTTTTTATAATTTCATTCAATAATTAAGGAGTTCTCACGAGTGAAATTCATCTTAAATATGATTTTAATGGTACACTCCTACTTTAAACCTAATGCGTTAAAATTAAAAAATAAAGAATAAATTTTCGAACACTTAGAAAAGTAGAAATATTTAGCCTCAAAAAATTAGTAGTACATCTTTTACTTTAACAAACTTTTTGATATTTATTTAATTTAATTATTAAAATATAATATAAATATAATTAATTCTTATATATTATATGTAAATTATATTTTTAAATTTATCTATTTTTAATTTTATATTAAAAAATAATAATTTTTTTATTAATATATTATATAATACATTAAATTAAAAGATATATCAATTAATGTTATTTAGCCTCAATTGTTTCCTTTATTAATAGTACATTTGTGGGATGAAAATAGTGTTTTCTCTTTATTTTTTTAACAAAAAAAAATATAATATTAAATTAATATATACTCGAAGAAAATCAAGTTTGAGATTCAATCTATAGACCAAAATACATTTTATATGCTTCTCATTTTGGAAAAACGTGACCGTCATTGTAATCAAGTAAGGAAATGCTGTTTTCTTTTTTTCTCTTTATTAATGGAATAATCAATTAGTTCTCTTTTTTGGCCGTCAATTATCATCATTTTTTTTTTTGATGGATCAATTACCATCATTTTAGAAAAAAGGGGAAAGACCTGTACACTTATGATTTGTAATATATGATTTCCTTTGTTTTCCATTATTGCTTTACAGTGCAGCAAATGGTAGTCCTCCAAAAAACAAAAAATAATAAAAAAATAATAATAAAAAAGGCTTGCAAATTGGACGTTTTTGATTTGCTTTTAGCTTTTGCGGTTTTGCCTTTGAGTTTCCACACCACTTAAGCAACCGCTACACGACAGCACCCATTCACAGGCGGCTGCCTATCGATTTATTTATTTGAGTCGAGTAATTTTACACTATAAATTACACAAAAAGATTAGGGTGAATCTCATGGGTGGTCACCCAACTTTATTAAAATCAACATTTTGGTCACTCAACTTTTAAACCTGACAAAATGGTTACCTAATTTCTTAAGTTATCCAAGTGTTAGTCACCCACAATTAATATTAACTGAAAATGTTAAATAATCATTAAGGTGACTAGGTTAAATGCCACGTCGGATCTAACATGGCATTGCCAACATCAAGTGGCACTCATTGGCACTAAAAACATGAAAATTGTATTTTAAATTCCTAAAATTTTGGTAAATTTTTTTTTACCCTTAATAACAACTATTTTAAAGGCCTCGAATTTATTCCTTGTTCTCTAATTAGTCAACCACATTTTTTTCCCTCAATCAAACACTAAGACAATCTTCAATCACCTTAAATCATACTCAATGATTATGCTATATTGACATTGACTTAAATCAAATTTCTTATGGTACTATTAAATTTTAAGCATTTTACTAATTAAAATGAAATCTCTTTTCATGTGCTAAACTAATAATACAGAAAAAAAAAAAAATAGCAACCAAAAGCTAAAAAAGAATTGATAGGATTTGAACATTAATCACCAAAAAAAGAAATAGCATTAATTATCATTTAATTAGTTGAGAAAATATCTATATCCATAATTCAAATGCTTTTGAAGCAAACACCAATATTTATAAAAAAGACAAAATTTCTTGGATAAGTATTTCAATTCTGGAATTTGTACTGCAAGCAATCCATCCAAATAAAAAATGAGAACAAAAGAAAAAAAAGGAAAAGAAAAGCTTAACAAATCCATTGGTTTGTATTTTCTTTTCTTTGGCTCTATTTGTCATATTATTGACTCCGCTCAAGAAATTGAGTAAGGCTTAACGACCCATTTAACATTTTCCTATTAACCATGGGTGACTAATGCTTAGATAACTTAAGAAATTAGGTGACCATTTTGTTAGGGTTAGAAGTTGAGTGACCACAACGTTGATTTTAATAAAGTTGGGTGACCACTCATGATATTCACCCAAAAAATTACTATAATTTAAATATTAAAATTATTAAAAAAATTTAATAAATTTTTATTAATATAAAAAAATTTATTAAAGATACTTTAATAATTTTAATATTTATTTATTTCTTTTTCAGTCCACAAGAACGTAAAAAAGGGATATGATTACTTACATAGTACGGCCTTGAGCTAGGAGGTGACTTTGGTAAAATTCATGTTTCCTGAAATGATTTTGTAACTTCAGGAAGGACGGATCTTAAGTGCGGACAGTGGAAGCAATGCAGTCCACCACTAGATCTTAACGAAATCTTCAAGAAGCAAATGGGATTATCAAAAAATTATCATTAAAATCTTCCTTTACATATTTGGCTCCCCTAGATAAACCTTTAATATATGTCCCTGAGTGCAAATGAAGTTTCTAGGATGCATGAAAAGTAAGGGAAATTAGTTGGAGGTGGTGGACTAATTATGTATGCTAAGGAAAAAAATTCTTCATAAGTTTCCTAATCTAATATTGATGCTCTCATTAATCTACTTTTAATCAAATCAAGAAGATAAATTTAATATAATTTGTAAAAACTAACTTATAATTTCACATAATCACTAAGAAAGAAGGTAAGGGAAATTTAATATACCTTTTGCCTACAAAAGCCCGGAACAAGATGATCTATATATATAAGGGAGTGGTTTAATTGGTAAAGAGTTTAATATTTTAAGTTGACAATATCATATTCAAACATTAATTTGTGTGAAGAAGAATTAAAAAAAAAATTATTCTCTCTTATATAACTTATCATCATACGCATATATATATATATTTATGCACTCATGATGCTAGACGCACAATGACATACGAAACAACGAAAAGGCCCCCATACCCAAATGCAGGAGAGAAATAAAAGATCACAATTGACAAATCAAAATCAAACTATTCTTCCATTGGATTCTTCCTCCTCTTTCACCTTTTTCCTTTCTATCCTTTTCAACTTTTCCAATCAAGTTTCTTCTTGTTCTCACCCCTTGATGGATGAGTGGAGGAAATGCATTATGCATGCACATAGGGTTGTTAGTGAATATGGTAGTTTATGAGTGATTCACAAGTTATTCGAGTTTAAATTTTTTGGTAAACAAGTCAAGCTCAATAAAATAATAAAGAGCTTGAGTTCAAGTTTACATGCCTACTGATAAATTTTTTTTAAAAAAAATTATAAATACTTATAATTTACTTAGTTTAGAATTTAAAATTTACATATAATAAAATTCAATAACTATGTTAAATAGATACTTTGAGTTTAACAATTAGCATACAACCCATGAATTAATAGAGATTGAAATTATGTACAATGCATGGGTAACACTCATGCTTAAAATCTAGTAATGGTATAAAATGTATGTCCGAATGATATAAATTAATAATGAAAAACAAATGGAATAATATAAAATGTAAAACTTTTCTTCATTAAAATTTAAGATAATTACAAAAATGATGTGAGACGTGTGTTGAAGATCCTTAGTAATTGTAGTATTTTTTCAATAATACGCAGTTGATGCATTAAATAGAGCCTAAAACTACACCATTTTAGGGTTTAATGTTTACTACAACATATGAATTGGATAGAGATTAAAACTACATAAAACATAAGGCAATGCATAAGTAATGGATAATGCACAAGTAATGCTTTGCTCATGCTGAAGGTCATGAGCAAACTCAACC